TGTAATTGACATTTGATGATTGAATAAAAGGAGTTTTATTTATAAGTAAAGTTACTGTCTTGTGTCAATTATTTACTATTGTTTCACTTTGCATGTTTTGACTTCTAGAATAATAAAAATTACAATTATTATTATTATTCAAACTATCCACAGTCGATCATACGTTGGAAGTAAGTATGAAATATGACTGTCATGAGTTGGCTTGTAGATTTTCTAAGGAGTTAGACATAGAAAAAGTGTGCTACACCATTCATAAGTGCTCCTGAAATAAGATTTGAGTATTGGATTCAACCCACGCTCACCTGAATTACTTCATGGAATTTATCACGAGTAATTGTGAGACGATAATATCATATAATCTTCCAACCAAGATATATGAGTTGTTGACTACGTGATGGTTGTGCATTGATGGCATGAAAACGCATCAGTAACTTGATATTATAAAACGTGTCATTGTGCATGATTTGATGAGTAGTTAGTACAAGCATATAATGTCGAAGTTTATCTGTTCTTTTTATCCTAAGAGGATTAAAAGCGATATCTTGGGCCCCTCGATGATTCTGTTTTGACTTATGTGTCGGGCCCGGTCAGAACTAAATTGATGTGTTCAGTTATGTTCTATGTCAGACGAATCGGAAATCGGGAAACAAATTGCAGGACAATCAGTATGACTGTGTTCCATGTGTTTTTCCGCATAGATATCTTGAGAACAGAGGAGCATATGATCCCTTATCTAAAGGACGCGTCATTGACTAGGTCAGAGTTGGACATCGGCTTTTGAAAGCTTACGATTGCTAAGTCGGATCCTGAAGTGCATTAGCAGTAATAGTTATTAGACTTATCCAAGTGGGAGACTGTTAGATTTGGTGTCTAAGCACATAACTATAACTGGTATGTACTTGACCCGATTGTAGCATGGTCCTTTTGGGTTGCCTTCACCAGTGCAATTTGATAGGATGGATTTTGAGAATAAGGTTATTTATGGTTTATTAATATATTACAAGTATAATATATTAATACGAAATTATTTAATTAGTATTGATCAAGAACTAATTTATTAATTTTGTGATCAAAAGAGACTAATTAAATATATGGGGATTGATTATGTAAACCAGTCATTTTTGTAGTGTGGGCTAATGATCCATGATTATGGCCTAAACTAATCCATGGATAGTCCATGGAGGTTAAACCCATGGATCATGAGAATGTGGAAAGTCATGGGTTATTAGGGTTTACCAAGTGTAACCCTAGCATGTACAATATTATAAATAGAACCCTCCATAGACCAAAATCGGTTGCCTCTTCTCTTTGAGATAAATAGATTATTCTCTTAAATCATCCTCTTGCATATTTTTGTTTGTGAACCATTAGAGGCATCACACTTGAGGTGCTCAAGCTTTCAAACGTCAAGAACTACAATTCCTTCTAAAAGGTATGTCATCTAACCAGATGTTATTACTCATTTGGTAATTTGTATGCTAGTTAGGACAATGCTTTGGAAAAATTGAAAATATTCATGTATAATAGAGAAAACATAGATCCAAAGCATTTAGGGTTGCATGTGCACCATAGGAGTGTTATAATGCTCAAAACCTAACAAGTAGTCGATCGGGAGTTGTTCCATTGAAATAATCGCTTAGATCTTCAATGTACGGCTCTGATACAAATTATAAGAGCCAATTTGTACGATCGACTAGTTGCGGAATAAAAGGATCTTGATATTTAACGATAACAAAAATATAAATGAAGAACATAAGATGAGTAATCGAATGATATTACTATAAAGAGAGGTTACAATATGAAAAACGAAGAACACCTCGGTGGGAGAGATCCCCACCGAGAGTTTCTCTCTAACTAATACAAAAGACTACATATTTGGTGCAAACAAAATAAAATGACCATCCCTCTCAATTTATAGAGAGAGATAAGTTACAATACAATAAAGGGTAATAAAATAACCTAACTTATTACTCATAATTTGTAGAGCATTTTCATGCTCCAACAGTCTCATATACATTCTCTTAGTTCTTCCAAAGTACTCTTAGAATGTTCCTATAGTCATCCGGTTACTAAACCATGTATTCAATTAGTGTATTATGATATGCTCATAGCATGATCATATACTAGGTCTTATGCATAATATGGAATAAATGATGGATTCATTTGCCAAGAAAATTGAATATAAATCATTTCTGCTAGTTCAAACCTATGAGCTAGGTCCTTTTAAGGTTGGCTCAAACTTAGTGGCATGTGACAATTCTAAAGTTCCTCCAAACGAATCTTTTATCTTGATCTCTTTCAAGATATTGTCAGCATATGCATAAGTATATACAAATTTTAACATTCATTTTATCTATCTCTATAGATTTTACATTCCAAGAATGTATCTTGTCCTTCCTAAGTCTTCATTTTAGAAACACATTTTGAGTCAAGGAAAAAAGGCATGGCATGATCAGAATGTATTTTCTTATGATTAAGTATGTCTCATTCTTACAAGATTAGGAATATCACTATGCTCCGACTAGTTCTTAGTAAACATAGATGTTCTATTTATTTTGACATAAAAGCACACCTTGTGGTTTCATGCATATTAAAAAGATGATTACAACATTGAGATGTTTTCTTTATATCCACAAGTGGATCTCAAGATTTACACATTTTGTTAGGATAACATGGATTAAGAAAACCTCCAGGCTAATTTATATAGATATCTTCCAGTACATGTCTATTAAGAAAAACGGTCTTTCTTGAAATCTATTTGTTATATCTCATATTAAGAATATGAATTTGTAGTAAACAATATCTTTGTTGATCTAATCATAGCTACTTGTAAAAAAGGTTTGATCAGAGTCAATGTCATGAGTATGATAAAGGCCATAGTCAATGACATAAGTATGAGAAAATCCTTTTATAACAAGTCTTGCTTCAATCAAGACCATAGTTGATTATCATACATGGATTACATCTCATGTTCATCGATGAGAGATTCCACATTTCTCAAGTCATAGATGATTTATACCACTAATGTGAATAATTTGTGTTTGCGAATAGCTATTATTCAAGTTTAACAATCCTTGTTAAATCTAGTGCCAACTGTAACTACATCAGGTTATGGTTCTTGAGTTGCTTCAAGTTCCATGTACATCCCACTTGCTTTGTCATTAGAAGCTTGCTTTTTGCTAACTCAAATATCAAAGGAATAAGAAAAAACTTATTCTTGGTGGGTTTGCTTATAATAATCTAAGCCACATTTAGAGTATTATATATAAATATGTATTTAGTAGATTTTGGGTTTAAAAGCTTTAGTCCAACATAGGCTTTAAATCCGTAAGACACTTAATAAGATAGGGATGGAGCCTTTCATACACAATCTTATGAAGAAAATGGTATATCTACTAGTTAGTTGGTGTTTATAATCAAGGTAAAATTGATAGTGTTCAGGTGTTATCCCAAGGAAATAAAAGGAGGACATTTCTACCGATTAGAAAGTAAATCATACTAAGTAATATTTCATTCATCCTTTATTATCATTAAGGCCTTAGATAGTTCTTATCGGTTTGTATTTCAATTTTATATTTGAAAACTTAAACAAAGGTTTCACAATTATGTTTTACCATGTAAAATATAATTTATAACTACTATAGTTGTTACTAAAGTTGATTTGGTATCTTGTGCTAAATCTTAGACATTTATTAGTAAGGTAGTCATACACCATAGTGTATACACTACTCGAAAACAAACCTTTAATGACACAAAATAAATGACACACACTGATTTACGATACACATTTTTTGTGCATCCTAAAAATAATGTCAAATTTCTAAAATTTAAAGGATAAAGGACACACATTTATGCGTGCCCTAAAATTAGTGTCTAAAAAAAACACGGAGGGCACCTATCTTAAACGGGTGTCGTGTAGAGATGTCGCTTTATAATTATTTCAAACACGCCTCGACCAAAGTATAGTACTACTAAATTCCACAAGATCGCAGGAACTAGGGTTTTTTTCAAGAACGAAAACACTTGGTGCTCACTGGCCTCTATAACAATCGATCGACAATCTCGCCTCGCTTGGTTGAACCTTCTGAAGGAATTGGTATGATTGGGTTTATCTATTACCTATTCATCTCTTCTTCCTTCCGTTAGCAGCGACTTTTACTACCACAATGTCCTTTTCTAATTCTCTACCAGAATTGTCACCAGTAAGCTATGTTAGACTGTGCTCTAAGTCGGAAAACAAGACCATGGAAGTTGGCCGCCTGTTCTTATTTCCTTCGCAAGAACAACTGCCTTCCAAGAAATTACGATTTCTCGATTTCCATCCCCGTCTTCCTCAATCATTGTCGCCATGGTCATCTAGGTATTGTAGTTATATCCCTAATTTTCCACACTGATGCCTTACATCAGGTGGGATTCGATTTGTTATGAATTCTTTAGTTGATTTTGATTATGCACGATGGATAATCAGGTAAAATATTGATCTCCCTCATCATTCTATCTTCTCTATGATGGTACGTGTTGTGAATGATGATAAAAGTATGTAGTATGAGTGTGATAATTCTATACAGAGGAGGTGAACATAATAATCATAAAACAATTGGTATTTGACTTGATAAATATATATGCTTTTCAGTGAAGACTCCTTTAATATTTCATATTTGAGGCCATACCATATATAACTATGTTAGGCGAAATATTATGTGTTGTTGCACGATAGGTGTTCGATGAAACGCCTGCATGAAAGTAAAAGTACAAAAGACCGATTGACTTTATTTTACATTTTTCCAAGATACTTATATCATTATAGATTTGTGTCCAATTCATATCTTCAAGTGGCTGATGATGCAGAATGATGCAACTATAAGGAAGGTATTTCCTACTATTGTTATTCTTGATTAGAAAAAAATCTATAAAATGAAATACTCTAGCTAAGTATCAAAGTTTTTAATGTTTTTTTCTTTCTTTTATGTCTGTTTTCAACCTTTTTGGTTGTACTAAAGATGTTTCCTACAGATCCATCTATAGAATTTGGGAAAGCTGTTGGAGTATTTCTTGAACAAAATGACCGTTGGGCTAGGTAATTAATCAGTTATCTTCTTATTATCATATATTATACATTTAGCTTTTTTTTAGCTTGAACAAGCTATATCAATCAGGTTCCAGATTGGACCATGGAATGGTATATGGTTTAGTGGGGGTTCTGGGGTCAACCAGAACATCATTAATGCAGACATGGTTATTAATGGAACGGAGGTGGTTTACAGTTGTCTTCTTCACAATAGTTATGTAGTCTCAAGGCTAGTCTTGAGTTCATCTGGACAACTAGAACGTTGGGTATGGGTGGCTGATGGTAAGAAATGACAGCTTTTCTTTCAGTTACAAAGAAATTTAGCTTTGGTGCTTTGGACAGATGGAATCTTATGTGCTTTTAAATATGTGAAGGGCCAAAGAAGATCAGTAAAAATCAAGAATATATTAACTTGTTGAAACAGTGCAAATCAATGTTGACTGGACCACACAACAATATGATTTCACAGATGATGAATATGATCGTACAACTGCAAATTTAGCTGCCCCTTATTGGGAGCGGCCAACTGGACCTATATGGTGGTGCCACGTGACTGCAAGCCACCCACACATTAATTCATGGTTTACAAATGCTTCATGGTTGCATCCTGAAATAAGTATTGCTTTGAGAGATGAAATCCGTCTTATAAGTGAAAGGATGAAACACCTTTTATATGAGGTGTATAATATATTGACTGTTTTGTATGGTGATTCTCTATAAAAATCTTGATTTATGATTATGGATTGGTTGTGTCTTGTGTAGGTCCTAGTTAGGGTTGCTGGAGGTTTATTGTTTGAACTTTTGGGTCAATATTTTGGTAACCCGTATATTAAGGAAGATGATGTACCAGATATGCTTCGTTCATGGCAAGCACAAAACTCTTTAGTCACTGCATTGCATCAAAAAGGAGTTACATCATTGTTAAGTGTTTTGGGTGTCATAGAAGTTCAAGTTTCTTTCCAATATTGTCCTTCATTAATACATTTACTAAGGGTTCTGTTTCTTTTTGATTTAATAGGCTTAATGGGTCAAGTAGACAATATTGATAAAGAGCAAATGAAGCACTTTTGGGGCCAAATTTCTGGTCAGATTTTTGACTCAAGGCTACAGACTTTCTTTGACATATGAGGTCTTATTATTTAGTTTAATCACTACTTATTTCTGTTAGGTGGGAATCTTATATATGTAACAAATGCAGGATTGATAAAGATGAAGATGGTAGGATCACACAAGACAATGTCAGAAAGGTCTAGATTATGTATTTTAGTTTTTTGGATCCAAAGCAAGATAATGATGAAAAAGAAGTTTAAGGGTGGTAGATTTGAACATTTTGCCCAAATAAATATTGATTATCTATATGTGATGCAGATTATTAGCCTTAGTGCTTCAATTAACAAGTTAGATCCAAATGACCTCGGTTACATCATGGAAAGATTAAAGACAACTAAATTATATATATATATATATATATATATATATATATATATATATATATATAGTTATGGTGGGGAAGTGTTCAATTATTGTTGCAAGCACCACAACATGACGTGAGTCCAGAAAGCAAAGTCTTGAGCCATGTGTTGAGTCAATAGCTGAAAACAACTCTAAAATGCATTCTTATAAGAAGATGGTATGAAGATTTTAGGTACTTTTTACAGGATAATCGAAAGAGATGTTGGTTTTTTTTACATGGAAGTACATTTAGTACAGGGACCGAGCACTCTGTATTGCATGTGGGTATAAAACCTAATATTCTTTAACTAACAACATATAGAAAATACTTTGGGAAAATTTTTCATGTATGACTATGAATAGTTGGTACTTTTTTTTTACAGCTTCCCAAGAGTTTTAATCAACGGTCCATATGGTGGTGTTACTAGTAGGGTTAGGAACCCCAATCATGAATATTTTGAAAGATATTTTGAATAACATTAAAGCCAAAGAAGATGAAGAGAATGCCTTGGAAAATGTTAGCACTGGCAAACTACAAAAGAAAAAGGTCAGGTCCAACAAACGTTAAAAGAACAAGAGCTTACCTCTATTGGGTGACTAGCGAACAGGGCTCATTTGACATGGTTAAAGACATTATGAATGAGTCTCCTGAAATGGATAAATATGGTGTCATTGAAATGCATGCTTATTGCACAAGTGTTTTTAGGAAGATGACGCTCGGTCTGCCTTTATTACTATTCTACAGTCACTTTATCATGCTAGAAATGGTAATGATGTTGTCTTAGGGAACCGTGTTAAGTCTCGTTTTTTTGACTCAAGACATTAACCCTTCAACTATTTGCCTTTCTATTTTTTGTCCTCATATTTTATTTGTTTTTAGCTAATTACCAACTTACCCTTTATCTAGGAACTTCTTTTTGCTGGTGGTAATAATATACCAAGGACAATACATGAGGTGATAGCACTTTTAGCCAGCTGGCTTGCACGATGGGATAACATGTGAGCTTATATTTTCTTGTTTCTTTTAATTTTGTCTAGTAAATATTAATAATATATTTCTAAATGTTCAGATTATTTCGGAAGTTTATATTTGGGGAAGCTGATGAAGTGGAACTGAAGTTCATTAATAAGAGAAACAATGAAGATTTGGATCTTTTCATTATAATCCTTAACCAAGAAATCAAAAGGCTATCACAATAGGTTTGCCATGATTTTAATACTTGAGTTGATGCTATAACGGTTGTATCTCTTATTTTAAATAAAACTTAAAAATAATATGTGTTTCTTTTGAAGGTTATTAGAGTCAAATGGTCATTACATGCAAGGGAAGAAATTGTGTTTGAACTTGTTCAACATTTGAGGGGGCACACCACCAAACGTTGCTTGAGGTCATAAGAAAAAGAACAAGGGAGATGCTTGAAGAACAAGAAGTAGTTCGTGGTCGCATTTTTACAGTTCAAGATGTCATGCAGAGCACCAAACGAGCCTGGTTGCATGTGTGTTTTTTCTATCAAGAAGAGTAAAATGGTCATTTGACCTTCTTCATATTCAGATCATTCATTCAGTCCCCAAAAAGAAACAGCCTTTGTTAGTTTGTTTATATAGCAAGTTTAGGTTTGTTTCTTTTCTAGTCCAAATAAACAAGAAAGTGTTTGTATGAGACTAAATCACTAAATGACCATTTTATCCTTACATTTCTTTTTTGCAGGATAGACACACGAGCCTGACACATAATTTAGTGGTGTTTGGTGGTTGTGGGCTTGTTTTGTCAATCATCACGGGATTATTTGAGATCAATTTTTATGGAATCCCTGAAAATAAAAATACACCATTTGCACTAGATAGTGTTTTCTCAATCAAATTGGATGTATTTAGCTTTGGTGTTTTAGTGTTGGAGAGTGTGAGTGGGAAGAAAAATAAGGGATTCATTCATTCTGAACATGACAATAACCTCCTTGGACATGTAAGTTTACCGGCCACAAACTATTTGTTTGATTTATAAAAATATATCCTCCAAAAATTTTTACATTAATTATATTCAGGCATGGAGAATGCATAATGAAGGCAAGTCAATGGAACTCATTGATACAAATTTAAGCCAATCATGCAATTCATAAGAATTTATAAGATCAATTATAGTGGGGTTGTTATGTGTTCAACAAAGTCCAAAAGATAGGCCAAATATGTGATCTGTTGTTTTAATGTTGAGCGACGAGGGTACACTTCAAAAACCTAAGCATTGGGCAAGTGTAGGAAATAGCAATGCACTTTGCTATTTCTTGCAAAATAAGTTACTATTTCATGCATTTAGTCCATTTTTGGTTAAAATGCAAGAAATAGCATCATACTTAATTGATTTGACATGAAAAAAAACATAATTTACTTTTTTTTTTAACTACATAACTCATTTTATGTCCCCAAGTGTGCGAAACTTGTAGAAAAAGTGTCGACACTGGTTGAGTTGATGCATCTTCAAGTGGTGAAGCTGCAATGCTTAAAAGCTGCCATAGAGATTGTCAAAGGAGAAATTACTCACGGGTTCTTTTTACTGTTGTACATGTTTTGTTTTTTTTAATAAATATTAACAATGTATTACATTTACTTACTATTGGAATAATTATTTGTATTTGACATATTAGTGAAATGAATTATCTTTGTTATTTATGGTATTTTATTTTGTATTATGAGACTTTTAATATGTTATTTAATTTGAAACTTACTAAATCTATCAAAATATATAATTTTAAAAATTTAAAATTATGACACGCAAAAATGTGTGTCGTCTTTCTTTATGACATAGGCTTTATTGATACACAATGTGAGTCATAAATGTGCGTCGTAAGGTTACGACACACAAATGCGTGTTATCTTCCTTTATGACGGGGCTTCAATAACACGCAATGTGTGTCGTAATTGAACGTCGTAAATGCGCGTCGTAAGTTTAGGACGCGCAAAAGCGTGTCGTCTTTCTTTATGATAGGGCCTTCGTTGACACAGATTTGCGTGTCATCTGTGGCTTTTACGATACGCAATGCGTGTCATTAAAGGGTATTTTTGTAGTAGTTCCTTAATAATTATTTTCTCTACTACTTAGTGAAAATAACATTAGGAATCTTTTATGTATAAAGAAGATTTACATATGTCAAATAAACTATATTATTTTCCTTCAAAGATCCCTTTCTTGAAGTTGGAATACGTGAATACCATTTATATAATAAAGATAACAATGTCAAAGATGAGTTTGATTTAAAACAATTTTAAGTCAAAAGTATTTGGTATATAGAACTTGTTATTTATAAAATATTGATATTTACTTTATAACTATTGTTAGGAGATATAGTCTCATAAAAAGTATTCTAATCATTTCCGAATATGAATGTGATCGTTATGAAAAACGATTTATGTAAATAGTTAATCATTCATAAATTAAGATGAGACATATATTTAGGCAACCTAAATTAAAACATACATTGTTTTAAAACAAACATTGTTTTATATTACAAGTACATTATGTTCCTAGCATAATTAATAAACTAAACTCTGAGAGTGTAGTTCGAACTTGATTGTACTCAACTGGTTACTCTTCTATAAATATCTGCAAGCCAATTACAAATATTAGATTAACATTTAAGTACCAAGTAGCTAAGTCTTGTATGAAAAGTATGAGTTCTATATAGTAGATACCTGAAGTACTAGTCTCTTCCAGACTTTCTTTCCAGATAAAAGGAGCAGATCCTCTTCCAGTGTCCAGTTTATTCACAAAAGAAATAAGATCTATCTATATGGGCCTTATAGGATTTCTTGGGCTTAAAGGTGTTCAGTACATAAAAACATAGGCCTTCTAGATCACACAAGGTGACTCTTTTGGGCCTTGGACTATTCCTAGTTTGATGTTAGAAAATCTTTAGCATCACAGTGATACTTTTACAAGGTATCATGTTCAAGCTTATTGCTCAAAGCAAATAGTTTGGGACTAGGACCTTTAAGTGTATACAATTTCATATCTCTTGCGAGTTTGTCTCTTAAGACATGAACCTATTCATTGAATTTGTATCTAGTGAATGTTATTGTTTCATTGACTCATTAAAGAAAAATGACAATTTCATGGTAATGAGAATGGAGTATTTAACTACAAAATTTTAACAAAATTCATTTAGTATTTTCAATATTTAAACTCTTTAATAATTAATACCCTTTCCAACAACATTAATCATCAAAGTCTAGGATCCAAGTTGCAAAACAAATAAATGGTTAGGTATCTTTTATCCCATCCATTTGAATTCAACCCGGTAGATATCGATTATCAATTATATCTTACTATATAATTCCTAGATTTATGGGATAGCAAATAAAAATTTTAATTAGACATGTTTGATCCCATCTATGCCTCAGAACTCTCTTGCTTAGGTATCATTTATCACAAAAGATTTCCGATCAAATCATACAATTTAAAAAACATGTGTAATCGGCCTATAACTTGGTTATAGAAATCGCGAAGACACCCCGACCATCAAAAGATAACACTAAGCGGTTAGGTATCCTTTATCCCACTAGTGCATACAAGAGATGTGCCAGTGTTCTTTAAAATGGATTGCATAGATTTGAGGTTTGTAAAAGGGTCTTTTATATTTTTTATAATTATAGTTTTAAAAACATATGATATCATGATTATTACATGCATATAATAAACTATGGTACCAATTTTCAAAAGAAAATCACTTTTAAAGGTTTAATATAAAAACCTACTTTTTATATAATTTTGACGCGATTCAATTTTAATAACCAGTATTATGTTTGAGTGCATGTGAACCTTTTATATCTTTAATAAAACTTCCTTTTATTACTTATATATTTGGAGTTTGTATAAGTTATAAAAATCACCATTTTAAAACTTATATTTGAGTATTTCAAAATTTGACATTAGTTTATAAAATCAGATTTATTTTAAAACAATAACTTGTTACATCTTATGTCCACATTATAAATTTTGAAAACCAAATTCCATGTGATGTTTATTTTGTCCAAAAATTATTTTAGCATGTGAAAAACTAATTTATCAACCACATAATAATTGCATAAAATAAACAACACAAACATGCATAAAATATATGTGTATAAACATAACCAACTAATGATATTTTTGTGAGCCAACACAAAAATGCCAAGTCTATTCCTAAAGGGACTTTTAAGGGACCAAAAATCTTCTTGTAATGTTGTTGTAGAAACTCCCACTTGAGTAAATACCATTTGCTTGTAAAATATTGGAAAGGCTTCTTGAAAGCAATATTTCAACAACTGTCACTAAAAGTCCAACAACCCTTTGAAAACAACATTAGTGACACTTTTCAGAAACTGTCACTAACTTTCAGCATGTTGTTAAACTCGAAAATTGTTCTTTGGTCTTCAAAAAATGGCTCCAACTTCATTTCTTATTACATTTTTGTACAAATAAATTATTTCTAACAACTAATTTATTACTTACAAAAATAAACCAAGAAAACTAATCTATTTAATTTATTACATACCATATGAATAAATCAATTATTACAACCATTTTTATAAAACAACAAACACAACAAACACAATGGTCATTGGCTATTTTATGCACATCATACATATCAATATACACATTAGACAACCTTTTTTTTTCTAAGACAACTTTAAATGACAAAAGATGCATGAAAACTTTTGTCACATAAAATAACAATTATAATTGTCATAGAAAATATGTATGAACTTGTTTTTTATACAAAACAAAGTTATCCATATTCTCCAAAAACTAAGATTTCTAAAAATCAAAAAATCTAACCAAACTTGCAAGGTGGATTTGATACCAATTGTTGGGATTTTATTCAAAAAATAGTTTCGAAAACAAGATTTTTAGCAACGGGAGACTTGATCATTTTGAATAACATAAACAAGTTTAAACCCACCAAGGATCTTCTTGCAAAGTTTGGGAAGAAAACAAACACAACCAAAGAAGAAGAAGAACAAATAAAAACCTTTGTACTTCTTTGGATCCTCTTGGGAGGCTTGGAAGTTGATGAATGATGATGAACTTTAGAAACACCAACAAGTTGTCCACTGATTTAAGATGCTAGTCTAAAACTCTTAACTCTTAAGCTTTATGTTCTTATCAAAATAAGAACTCAAAGAGAGCAAAAGACGCAAGTGTTCTTCAAGAAATGATCAAAAGTGAAAGAGCATGCACACATGCAAGCTACTTACGGGTTTTGTGCTCTGGAGAGAGTGAGAGTTGAAAGCCCTCATAAAGTCTCTCTTTTACACACAAGTTCTTAACCATTTAAGCCCTCTCTTGTCACTAGACCACTATGTCCCCCATGCTTGTATGGTTAGACATTACTTTTGAATAAATTAACAAGAAAGCCATGCCACCTTTTTGACTTTTCAATTTTTGAAATTAAGATATAAAAAAGGAAGACAAAAGCTTTATATTTTATAAACCAAGTTTATAAAATATAAACCTTAACTTTTTGGTAAAAGACAAAAGAACTTATCTAGTCCAAAATGTTGTACATGACTTATTAATTCATACCATATGAATTATGTTATGTTACTTGCTAATGAAAATTATTATTTTCATGAAACAAATAATCTCCAATTAATTATAAGAGTATATTGAATATTTATTAAAACCAATTTCTAATAAATAATCAATTATATCAAGTTGTTGTTAGTGTGACCCTTTAGTATCATATCCTAATTAGTAATATCACTTTAATATGATTATTGAGCATACTAGATCTTTCGGTATTAACCTATGATGCTAAAGTTTATCAATTACTAGGGCGAATATGGTAATATGGGCTAGATCTATCACTAATCCCAACGAATATTGATAGTTCTATCAAATAAGGATAAGCCAGGCAGGACAATTGGGAGGCAGAACCATTTCAACGTATAGCCTTTCTGAAATCCAACATCCAAGCCAACGTCACCATTCTAGTCACTTCTCTCATAATTAGATCAATTAGTAACTTGGAATTACTAATAGTTCTTATTTTAAGGTTCATAATAACGACTTATGACTATAAATATAAGTTACATTGAAATCACAAGAATGTGGCTTAACTTACAAAGGTTTAAATGAAAACCG